ATTCGGTCTTTTGCAAGAAGGACATTTTTGCAGTTTTGCTGACCGGATACAACAAGACTGTAATCTGCCAGTTAGCTCCGCGTGTAGTGAAGCATATAGGGAGTATTGCTGTGATTGGTCGCAGTGTTATCCAATTGCGTGCAGTGATATTTTCAAGTGCATGCATGCATGGTGCCGCCCCTTGAGCTGGGCGATTTACATTACTCAATGCCAGACCCTTAATCTTTCGGATTTGGGTCTGGATTTCCAGGCTAGTTACATTTACCAAAAGTGTGTCTGTGTGTTATTAAAAAACAAACAAGCAAACACGGTCTAGGAGAGAAAAGGTGACGCTAAAATAACATAACTGTTTCCATAAAAAGTAACTAACATAACTAGTAACCTTTTTACAGAGTAACGCAATTTTGAAAAGCTTTACTTTTAAAAAACGTTCCCCAACTTTGCCAGCTGAACACCAGAAAATACCATAATGGACTGTTATTATATAACCTCTATAATAACAGTCGATAGCACTGTGGTGAAAGTATGCGCAATCTCCGTGTGACATTTCCGTCATCAGTAGGGACCGTTTACTTTCGTGTGCAGCCCAATGTCTCCCGGCCAATGGAGTTCACTTTGAAAAACTGTGCGCAAGATTGAGTGTAATGCGGAAAATGAAGTATACCCTGCCCTTCAGGATGATTTTAAGGGATGGAACAGACCCAAACAGGGGCACATTCCCTCACCCCCAATCCAATTGAGATGTCTCTATATCTCACCCAATCTCAGCCAGTCAGCTGGATCTATAATGTCTGGTTCAGATCACACGATTTTAGCCCGATTTTGGCACGATCCATTTGACGTAGGGTGCCATGGGGATTCGTAAACGACAACGGGTGTCGGGACGCAAGATTCGATCGTATCATCTCGTATAGTGTGTCATAGTGGGCGACAACCTACGTTGCGTCTGTGATGCATCACGACAAAAAGACTAGCATGTTTAATTTTTTTAACGGTCGTCCACCACAGTTCTGTCACATGTATGAGGTTGACCAATAGGAGCACAAGCTTTTCCGTATACAACTTTCAAAAAAGACAAAACGAAAGAGAGATGATGGTGCTAACGTTAAAACTAGAAGTAAAAATATATAAGAAAACAATATTTTACCTCAAGTTCTCTTTGGAGGATTGACAGCCCATACTGTCCTCTTCGAGCAGGGTTCTCAAGTCACACTCACACGCCTCACTGTGTATTTCTCACGCTGAAAAGGCAATGCCGAGCAATCCAGGAACTCACTCGCTACGATTTTCGCCTTAATTCTCGATGACATCACGCGCGCCGTTAAACACGGCATGCGATGACTGGTCAGGAAGTAACGTGTAGTCTGACATGTGTCTTGTCCACGACACGACAAGATTTTAGGAGCCAAAATCGCGTAATCTGACACAGTGACTATCGTAACAGACAAAAAAAAAATCGTGTAATCTGAACCAGGCATAAGGGCTACAAACAGGCCAAGAGCAACACACAGCCACAAGGCCATAATGCCTAGCGACTCCCCTGCTGCCAACAAACAAATACGGCTTGCCGTCTTTGTTTCCAAATCTTATGAGTTTTGAGAATATATTTTAACATCTAAAATAATTTCATTACGTTTTCAGATATTTCATGTTGTCTTGGGGTAAAATAGACACACATACATCTTTCATTTCTTTGGTGCTGAAGGTTACAATTATACATTCTTCACGTGTGAAATAGCCTTTGCCCTCCAATAAGGGTGCAACTCTTTCTGATTGCTTTGCTTTACAAGCAGCACTTATTCAGTCTGGCACTAAATCAGAGTGAAAGAGCCAGTGGAAACACCTGCAGCCTGTGAACTTTTGGTCAATAGCTGTAAATAATCCACTGATTTAAAAATGTTTTCTGCTGTATTTTATATTGTATTAGAAAATCATAAACTAACGCAATTGAAACCGCTATCGTCAGATGTATGAAATGTATTATCAGTTCCAATTGATATTTTAATAAGATTGCCAACATTTCTCATCTAGTGATGATTTAAGTATTTCTTTGTGTGTATTGCACAGACGTGTTTCCAGCCCTATTTTATTAGATGGTTTATTTAAATGTGCAAAAGTGCGGCTGATTCTGGTGTGTTCCTAACCTCCTTTAATTTGTCATCTTGCTGAAATAATCTGCCTCTATCATCATATATCTGGGTTTTTATAGCGTTTTCTAGAGTACGTAGAGACTGAGCACTAAACAGAGAGAGGGAGAATGACAGGATCTGTTGTAATCTGAAGTTGAAATGAGGGTGAAATGAATTGTTTTCTGATTTGAGGTATGTTGATGGCTTATTTTGCGAGTGGGTAAATCCCATCTGCCGGTTAATGGTGTGATTCAGCTCGAGTAAGTGCAGGAGAACTTCTAAAAGGGTTATTTATATGCCGAGCTACTGTGAGTCCGTCTGCAGGCTGAGACTGCATTGACTCGTTGCCAAAATAAGTGTTTATTAATGTTTCTTTTTGTCAGCTTTTCTTTTGAAGAATAATCTGTATATACAGTACTCCTCCTGACTCTCCTGTGCTTCAAACATATGCCGTGGTAAATGGCTGCTTTTGGGATTATTAGTTTCCTAGCAACGTGACTGACAGAAGCTCAAACCTTCAGGACAGAGTCCAGCACAGTGCTCACATTTACTGGAGAACCTAGCAGTCTTCGTCTCCTCAACCGTTAATATATAGACACGCGGGCGTTTAGTGGCACGTGCCCAGTTGCTCTTCAATTAATGGTCTTTAATCTTCTCGTCCTGCTGTATGAAACAGAGAAGGACACCATATTTACCACTGTTGTCTTGCACTTAGATTCAAACTTAATGGATATTTCACCCAAAAACTTTTTTTTAAAACGTTTTGCATCTACTGTGGTACACAAAGAAGTTTTGAAGAACTGGTTGCAGTAAATGAATGGGCATAGAAGCTTTCAAGACTGAAGGATCCAAAACACCTTATGAGTAGTTTATACAAGCTTCTTCATTATTATTCACTAACTTCACTATCATTATTATATTATCAGGATTCTTTAATGAATAGAATGTTTTAATGAACAGCATTGATTTGAAATAGAAATCTTTAAAAATATATATCTTACCAACCACAAAGTTTTGAACATTAGTATACATTCATCACGCATCAAAGGTTAATCACGAAAACAAATTTAAAGTGTTAAAGTTGGAAATAACTATATAAATGGGACATAGAGAAATTCTCTTACAATTAATATCTTTGCATTATCTATATGTGTTGATTTGGGACTCAATTTACTATTTTGCAAATCACAAACATGGCCAGAAAATGTACTATTTTCTATAATACATTATTTTATAATATAATCTTTTTTTTTATAAAAGTTTCAGTTTAGTGTGTTAATTGCAGCAGACATATAGCTGCCTTTTGTGAATAAGTTGCTATAAAAGAGCACATGAATTACATTTGCAAGAATGACAATGACTTGGGGTGTGTTCACGATTGCTCTGTTAGTGCGGTTCATTTGAATAAGTGTGAACGCTGCAATCTGAACCCTGGTGTACGCCAAACAAGCGAACCGAGACTGAAAGATGGGTCTCGCTCCTCTTCCAAACTAACTCTGGTGAGGTTCGACTGAAATATGAACACAACAAGGGGCCAAAGACATGTAAACAAATCTTTTGGTTCGGTGTTACAAATGCTAATGTAAATGCTAAACAGACTAGGACTAAAAGGTTTTTTTTGTTTTTTTTTGGTTCCGGACCAAGCAAACCGATCTACACACCTATTCTACACATTATCTACACATGGTACAGCACTATCTGGTTGACTTGTAATAAGTAAATTGTAAACTGAAATGCACACCAGTTTCATCGCAATTCTATTATTGGGGGTATTTACATTTGGTTACTTAATGAGTTTCTATTGATCGGACAGGTCTCTGGTCATAAAAAAAAAAACAGGTTTAAAATCCTGCCAAGACTCTTTCGGGATAGACAGGAGGATGGATAGATTTGTAAGAGCACTGCCTTGCATGCATGAGTGAACAGTCATGATGGAGGGACTGTGCAAGCACTAACTGCCATATGGGGAGCATTGCACAAGTGAACTCTGTAATTGCTGCATATAGTGCATTTATATAGCCTGGTTAAAACCAGACCATTCTCAGTTGTAACTGAGTTATGGTCTGGCAAAGCGTCATAGACAAATCATTTCCAGAGGGGCGTCACCAACGGACGCCGTGAGTAGACCTAAAACCAATGAGAGCGATGAAGGAGATGACGTATGCAGAGCAGCGGAGAAACATCTCCGAGTGTTGTTCTTTGCTTGGTTTTCAAATCGCTTAAGATAGCTGATTCATGAGTGATGTTCGACGGTGGCATCCATCTTTGTAATGTAGGCTACAAAATCTGATTCAAAATCTCAGTCCTGTCGTCATCGTGTAAAGCCCGCCCCAACGTTTCTAATTGGTGCCACGATTTTGATGGATTGGAAATGGGTTTGAATGAGCTCTTTGCCAGACTAACTTTCAGAGCAAATCTAAATCTAAAATTGCCAGAAGTTGTCTGGGTTTTCCCAGGCTAGCATTTATATCCATTTTGTGGAGAAACATCTATGTGACCTAGCATAAATTGGACAGTGCAAACCAATCAGACGCATGAATTGTCTTTATTTGGTTTTTGCTGTCATTTAAATGCATACAAAAGATACATTTAGATGCCGTCAACTGCTTTTTCCTGCAAATGACAGATGAGTCAGGGTGTTTATGTGGGGATTCCAGCAGTGAAGTTAAATAACTGCAAACTCTCCCACACATCAGACCATTAGTCTTTTACTCCAATGCACACAAGTTGTATTAAATGCACACAAAAGTTGTATTTCCACACGTTAATTGTATAGAACCTATTCAAACTCTCACTATAGATGCTTTATTGATGGTTAGGGCTATGGAAGAGTTGTCATGGATGCATTGATGGGATGTGTGTGTGTTGTAGTGATGGAGATGAGCTGAAGAAGTCTCTGTCCGAGCTGGCCGATAAGAACCACCACTCTCACACTAAGAGCATCAGTCGCATCAGCAGCGGCAGTAACCCGTTCCTGGACATCGCACATGACCCCAACGCTGCCGTCTACAGAACCGGCTTCTTGACACGCAAAATACACGCCGACATGGACGGCAAGAAAAGTAAGATCCAATCCAGAGTTCTGAAGTTTGTGCTGTTCATTTCATTTGCATTTCATATCTCCAATACAATAACTGCATGTAAAGTGTATGATCCATGCAGAAAGATTTTGATATGGTTATACAGTAAAACACTCTGAAACTGTGTTGTTTAACATGATTTAAGATTTATTATTTTTAGTTAAAGTTTAAAACACCATGATAAAAAGCAGTTTAAAGGAGAACTCCGGCGAACAATGAACTTTTGGTCTAATAAAACATCGGTACCTAGTCAATCGTTCTCTGAGATTTGTTTTCATGATAATCGAATGTAAAGAGTTTTATCTCTAAAAACTGTTTAGCGTATAACGCTAGCAATGGGGGCATTGACTAAGTAAAAAGAAATCGCTAGTTTATACCACTAACAAGGCTCAAAATAGCCCCACACTAACACAGTAACATATTTGAGGCTCCATACATGCAAAACGAAGCATTGAGAACTTTGTAAGTGTACAGACCGTTTAATAAGAAGATACTTTATAAAGACAGTTCACTTCGTGTATACAGACAGGAGCCATCTTAAAAAATAGTCTCGATAAGTCAATCCCCGAACGCCGCTCATACAGTTCAGAAGTTCGCTGAACTTCATACAGTTCAGATCACTCAGCACGACGTTCGTGGTTTGACTTATCGAGACTATTTTTTAAGATGGCTCCTGTCTGTATACGCGAAGTGAACTGTCTTCATAAAGCATCTTCTTATTAAACGGTCTGTACACTTATAACACAAAGTTCTCAATGCTTCGTTTTGCATGTATGGAGCCTCAAATATGTTACTGTGTTAGTGTGGGGCTATTTTGAGCCTTGTTAGTGGTATAAACTAGCGATTTCTTTTTACTTAGTCAATGCCCCCATTACTAGCATTATACGCTTAACAGTTTTAGAGATAGAACTCTTTACATTCGATTATCATGAAAACAAATCTCAGAGAACGATTGACTATGTACTGAAGTTTTATTAGACCAAAGGTTCATTGTTCGCCGGAGTTCTCCTTTAACTAAACATGTATTTTGCTAAAAAGCTAGACAGGTCGTTTGAATGACTTTTGAAGCATTTTGATGTATTAATTCTGAGTAATTAAAAGCCTTTTTTATAAGCAGGTTATATTTATGACTCTCCACAAGTAAAGCTTCTGGGTATGCAGGGAAAGAGCATTAAATAAATGCTGTGTAATGTGATCGCGGGTAAAGCAGGTGTGATTCAGTGCTTTGGCAAGCACACACGGTGAGATGGGATTTTGGCCATAGTCTCTCATATATTATGCCCACTTATTTTTCCTTCCTAATGAGATTGTAGAGTCACTTGAAAACCTGCTGAGCTGTTCGTGTCTGTTTGAAGAGACGTGCCGGTTTCAGCTCGTCCAGTAATGAACAATCTCAAACACGGACAGTTGATATGATCAAAAGGAATGTTTAAGATGACTGAAAACTGTAAATATTTCTGGTTTTGCATTATATACACTACTGATCAAACTTTTGTGATCAGTACAATGCGTTATATGCAGCATGAACGCATTAAATAATCAACAGTAACAGTAAAGATATATTTATAACATTAATTATATAAAAGTTATTCTTTTGAACTTTCTATTCATCAATCAGAAATGTTTCTTGTACAGCAAATCAAGTTCTGAAGGATCATGTGACACTGAAGACTGGAGTAATGATGCTGAAAACTAAGCTTTGATCACAGGAATGAATTACATTTTTGATTATTTAAAAATAAATTGTTATAAAATTTCGCAGTTTTTACAGTATTTTTGATCCAATAAATGCAGATTTAGTGAGCAGAAGAGAACACATCTTACTGACTTCAAATCTTTGAACTGTAGTGTGTGTACCCTGTCTAACTGGGTTAGATGTATAATAATATAGAGGCGGTGTTTGAACATGTCTAACAGGGTAACTGTGATTTACTGGCCGGCTCTGGTTTATTGGACAGCCCACGCTCCAATGCCAGCCATGCCAGTGCGGTCTAATGAGCGCATTACAACCAGGATAAAAACAGCAGGGCTTTAGTGATCTGATGCATCACATGCTGAGGGCATTCAGGCCAGTGTCCCAGAGGTGCCATCAGTGCGACGCCACACACTTCTGAGAACCATAAAGCGCCCGGATGCTTCCCAAAGCTCCTAAAGCACTGCCGTAAATAAAGCTATTCTGCAGAGACACCGTCACGGAGTCACTCGACAGAGAACATTCTAGTAATGCCCTTCAGAGCTGGAACAGAGCACTAAAATGCTTATCCTAGGTTTGAACTTTTCTAACAGAAAAGGATGGAAAATACAGGACTGTAGGAACACATAAATATACACATACACTAGGGGTGGCACGGTTCACGAAACTGACGGTTCGGTTTGTATCACGGTTTTAGGGTCACGGTTTTCGGTTATTTTTTTCTTTTAATCTTTAACACTCCAGAAATGTACTTCAGCATGTGATATATAGCTTAATTATCCACACTTTAGGAAACAGTATAAAAAAATGATATTCATGCAATCATGCACAAACTGAATTTGACTTGACTTTAAGCACATTTTGGGACTATCAGAGGAAAGCTAGGTGAGATTTTGACACAGCAAGAGAGAAGACATTGACATGCTTTTCGTTTATTTGGCAAAAAAGAGGAGAATGTGTATCACTATGTCTCAAGAACTTGTGCATTTTTATCACACAAATCTTATTTACACAAAGAAATTAACTTGAATTTATCAACTGCCAACTTATGTAGCTCTTACAAAAATTCTATCTTTTAAAAGAAAAAAAGAGGAACTCTTAAGACACTGACTTTTATGAATAAGTCAATATACATGAAAACCTCATTAGCCGCATTTCCACTGCCGGGCTAGGGCTGGGCCAGAGCTAACAGCGAGCCGAGCCGAGCTAGTGGCCTCGGGCCTCAAGCACCGGACTTGCGTTTCCACTGCCGGGCCAGTAGCCCCACAGCGCTGCCCCAAACCCCACCCCTAACACGCCTTTCTGGATCAAACGTCATAAAACCCAACCCATTTCAGCGGGTATTATGAGTTAATTTATTTTTTAAATTAGTCAAGTCAAGTCAAGTCACATTTATTTATATAGCGCTTTTCACAATACAGATTGTATCAAAGCAGCTTCACAGTGATAACATGAAAGTAGCACAACACAGATCAACAACATTGCTAAACACTAAATAACCCCAACTGAGCAAGCTCAAAGCAAGCCAAAAGCAAGGCGACAGTGGCAAGGAACCAAACTCCATCAGATTGGATGGAGAAAAAATCTTGGGAGAACCCAGGCTCAGTCGGGGGCCAGTTCTCCTCTGGCTTACATTCATATTGTTTAAATATAATTATTATTAAATATAAATATTGTTTATGAATCAAACGGCGCCATAACATATCGCAGGCGTTGAGTCGTCTCTTCACAGGCGTTGAGTCGTCTCATCACAGGCGTTGGGGCATCCGAAATCCCCGTGAGAGGCTGGACACAAAACTGGACCTGAACGAACGCCATTTTTCTCGGGACAAGCGTCCCGAGATAACAGCAGAAAGGCAGATGGGAAATAATTAGCATAGCTGATGTTCATAATGATTTCCGTTATAACTCACAAACTCTCCGTAACCTGAACTCTCCGCAACCCAACCATACGCGCCGACCCGTTTGTCTAAAAGGCTGTCGAGCCCCACTGGTGCGTTAAGCAGTTTCAGTGGCAAACGGTTCCGTATGGATTATTAGGAATTAGGAAGATAGCATGTATATTAACTCACCTGCCGTGGCTGCAATAGTGTTCCGATTGTCTCGCGAGTCGCCACTTGGTATCCTCGACAGACCAGTACAGGCGATTCTCCAATTCAAGCAGCGATTTTTTTTTTTTGTTGTTTTTTTTGTTTTTTTGCGCGATATAAAAAGTAGGGCTGCACGTTTTCAAGTTTTTCATTAACCGTTAACCGAGGCCCTTTTAATTTTTAACACCTTTAAGAACTGGTTGGACCCCATTTGAAACGAAATTAATTATAGAAATAAAACGCAGTAAGTACGGAGCAGTTAAAGCCGCATTTCCATCACCCTTCAAACGGAAATCGCCAATTGAAAATAAGCACATTGACACGTCCATTTCGCAAAAACTCTGTCCTCAAATAATAATAATAATAATCATTATTGTAAAATTTTATTAGTCTGCATATGTAGAAGATGCCTTTATCCAAAAAAGGAACAAAGCACAAATAAACACAATATTTTTGACGCATATCCATCCAGTGTGTGTTTCACTGCAGTTCTTTCAGTGGAAACAACTTAAAATACTCTTTCATTTCTGGTCATACAGAAAATAACAATAGCCTACATTATTCGCAAATACATTTATTTGCGTAAACTCACAATAACAAGAAAACGTTGTGCTTTGACAATCAGGCGCGCTTCATGATCAGTGAACTGAAGCGCGAGAACAGAAACAGCCACCGCATTCGAATTAGTTCGTTTTAAATTGGACATTTAAAGCTTTAGTCTACAGGGGTTATATCCTTTGTAGATTAAATCTTTAAACATCCAATTTAAAACAAACAAATTCGAATCGAAAGCCAATATCTTCTGACTATGTAATTATGTAGGTAATTAATTTCTCTCTAAATGTGCATCCGAAAATGGAGATATGTTTTTAGCCGAAAATGATTTAGAAAACAATAGTTTATTAATAAACAATGAATGCCTCGTTATTTTATATTATTTTATTATCAGGCACATTTAGCCTAGGGCCTATTATAGCCTATAAATCACCTATAAATCCCATTTCTAGGCTGTGGTTACGGCTCTTCTCATTCAGCACTGCGGGGAAAATATCATTTCCAGGTTCTAATTTGGCCTCAGAAAACCAGTAAAATATAAATTTTTTTCATATTAATTTGTCAAATATTTTAAATGTTTAAAGGGGCAAAAAAAATCAAACAAATATCTGAAAATTCGTCGATGTGTAGCCTATATATTTTTG